AGTCATCACATACCCTGTCTGTACTGGGAGTGAAAGACTACAGTAGGGAGTTGGTTTTAATTTATTTTCATTAATTGAGCTTATTCACTGTGAGAAAATTGGTCATTCAGAGTCTTCCAGTAATAAATGAAATGTTTGAACTTTGGCCAGGCAGAAGCTAGCTTATTGGAGACAGTGTCCTAGAACATAGCAACTATTTTTTTTTTTTTTTTTTTTGCGAAATGATACAATAAAGCAATTTTCAGTGTACTTTGAGTAGTATATAAAACGATTCCCTGTCCCCCCAACTACATATCAATGGGCTTGTGGTAATAATTTAGCAGAAAACAGCTGAGAGAAGACGGGAATACATGCAAGTGAGGGATTCCATGCCTAAAAAATGTAAAGAGTTGTGGGTTTGTTTTTTTTTTTTAAATCTAAAAATGTCTTTAAATTTATTTTAATTGCAGCTGGGAAAGAGATCCTCCTGAGATATTATGACATTCAAGTAATTTTAAAGCAAAACGTTTAATGTACTTGGAAGTACAAATCTAAAAATAGTCACAGGTACATGAATCTGTCAAAAACATTTCCTACCACAGCAGCCCAACACTTGGCAGCTAACTTGCTTGGTAATGCCTAGTTTTGTTTAGGGGGAATGTTTTTGCACGTTTTATACGCTGGTAGTATCCAAATTGCTCAGGTATCATGCTAAACCTGAAAAGAACTACATCATTTGGAAGACTAAATTGGAGTTAAAAAATAGAGTATTGCCTTCTCTTTTGTCACTTCCTCTAGAAGCAGTAGGCTTTCACTATCCATTTTGTTCCTTCAGAGATTCTGGACTGAGTTCATTCCTTGCAATTCAGGAGTCATTTATCATCGTCTACCTTTGTTTGCCCTAGCCAGATAAAATTACAAAATAACAGCTGCTGCTTGTCCTTTTTCCTCTCGATCCATGACCCAGTTCCTGAATTCCTCTGGGACTCCAGAGAGACTGTTAAAAATGGAGGGTTATCTCTTGGTTTACTGCCCAGCTAATATGCATTTCCTTGTTGCTGTCTTCAATGGAGGAAGGTATTTTTGTTAGCGTTTGTCACTTTCTGGCTATTTCCCATTGTTAATATAGATAGGAAAGAGTTTGGCCAGAGCAGTGAGGAGCTATGTAAAAGGAATGCAATTGTTCTTTACAATCTGTGTTAAAGATTAATTTATATGATCATTTAAGAGTTAAATAAAGGCAACAGTAAGGGGAGCTAAAAAGAAGTAAACGAAATATGAATGACTGCTTGCATGAAAACCAAGGTGTTAAACTTATATAAATTCTAGCACATCACTTCCCACCCCCAATCCTTAAGTCTTGTGTCAGTCAGTTACAAGCTACAGGTGGGAAAACTGTAAACGGTGGTGTAAGAAACAGTAGAAAGAATGTATTCCATTATATTTGGAATATAATGACCATGAGTCTTATCGATACAAAACTAAGTGAAAACATAAGTTTTATTGATTTAATGAGGGCTATAAGGTTACATTTACTCAAAGTAAACATTTTTACTTTAGCAAACCAAAATAACTTTCACATACACCTCCCCAAATTTTAAGGAATTAACTGAAGAGGCATCTGAAGTATTAACGGTGACTTCCAAAAAAAAAAAAATATTTCAAAATATCTAGGAACTTGGAAGGACTTCTAACTGTAATTCCAGAACTTAAAAGGATAAGTGAATCCACAGAGTTGTAGAGTGGATGAGCTGATACTGATCCAAGCAAAGCAGTGGAACAGGATAAACAAAAAAGTAATGTTAGTTTCAAGAAGTTTATGGAAAAATGGAACATTTATTTGACTAGCTTACGTGTCTGGGTGATAAAGCCAAGGGTATAAAATGCTGAGTTATCTCCAGGGCGTTTGGCATAGCAGCACATACCTTTTAATATTAAAAAAAAAAATATGCAGAAGGGAAAGGGTACCTATTCAATTAACTTTTAAATTGCCTGCTGACATATTTGAAATTAATTTGATAACAGGGAGATGGTAATGAAGAGGCCTGTTTCTGAGTTTATCTCCTAGGGGCTAGTTTTTAGTCTAATGCTGTTCAGTATTTCTATCAATGAACTAGATAATGGTGATAAAATCTTTACTAGCAAAGCTTTCAGGAGATGAAAAGATAGGTTGGTACAGGTTACAGTTATGAATTGAATTGCTAATTAAAGGGTCATTAGTTGCATGCAAGTTACATTTTTTTTAACAAGGGGCAGCTTGTACTTAAAAGGTGTAAAGCTTTTCCTTGAAGCTGAGAATCAACGTAGTATGATGTAGTAGTCACTGTTGATAGTTACCATAGCAAAAGTCTTCTGGCAGGTCTGTGGCAAAAGGAACTGGTATGATCCATAGGTATGTGCAAAGCATGATAAGGAGTATAAACAAGGAAATGATTGTACCTAGTGTTCTGTACCTTGCACTACAGGAATAGAGCATTTATTTCTGGTGTCCCTCCTCCAAGGAAGTCTAGTAGTTCTTGTGTGCCTCCCTTAACCTTTCTCTGCCCAGAAGGACGAAGAGCTGAATCCATTGACGTTTTCAGAGGGGAGGTCAGGGCTTAATAGGCATATATGGATTGCTTCTTTATAGAAAGGATGGTGTACCCTAGCTTCTGAGAAGTTGTGTACCCTGTTTGCATGGATAGAGTTGGTCAGTGGATGGTAGTTTTGTCCCTCCTAAAATAGGAATGCGACTTCCATAAATCCTGATCTTTATGGATCCCTTCCAGTTCGAGATATTCTATGATTCTCTTGTCACACAGGAAAATTACTGCCTGTCTTTGTGCACTTGTAGAACTTCAAACATTGGACATTGTAATAACATTTTCTTCCAGGGTTTCAGCTGTCAGTGAATAGTGAGACACATCCAGAGAGCAATTCAGCTCGCTCAAAATCTGAATTGTCTTGCAAAATTAAAGATACATTAAATTGATCAGACTCTTAACTGAATCGCTTGACGTTCCTAAAATTAGTGGTATGAATCCAAGCCGCTTTTGCAACTAAACCATGTTAAGCATTGACTGTAATTTGAAACGTGTGTGTTTGAGGCTGCATTGGTGTGTTGTATCATCTCTGCCAGTTTTTCTATGAGGTGTAACTTGCAAAACAAACACAAATTAGCGTTGTGGGTCACACGCTTAAACACCCAAAAGACTGAATTTAGAATTTGCTGGCTGATGTTAATGTAACACTTTCTCAACCACTTCTAAAATCTAATGTAATCTGTATTATGAAAGCACCTATGTAAAGGAAGACTGTGTTTTCAAAGGGTCTTGCCTGAAGTTGTATATTTTTGGTGTCTCAGGGTTGCATGATAGGGAATTTATATAGGGTACATCCTTATGAATTACTAAAAGTTGGAAGGTATTAAGTGTAAAGTACGGGACTGCAGAAAGAAAAAAGATTGTGGTTAACACAAATACATACTTCTTCTAAGCCTTTCAGAGGAAAAAAAAATGCTATTGTGCCAGGTGACTTATGTCTCTCTATAGATACTGCATCAGCATGATTCCTCTGTTTAGTACTATAGCAGTGTCGTCTGCCGCTCAAATTCACTACTTGCTAGTGGAAGCAAGTGTGTTGCCACCCAAAGGGTTTGTTATCTGGCTCATTTCTCTTTACCAATGTACAAAGGAATGCTGATACTCAGGAATTCCTGGTTTCTGAGGAAATACAGTCTAGCAAATGCCAGTCCCATCTCCTTCTCCACCACTTTGTCCGTATTTCTGTCTTGTTTTCCACATCCTGTTTCTGTCTTCATTAGCTACAAGAATACCGTGCTTTCTAACTTCTACCATGTTGCATATCCATGTTTAAATTGTGCTGCTTAATCGTACTCCATATGGAAACAGCAGTGACATTGGAAGACCTGGAAACGTTTTCCTCACTCTGTCCCTCAACACCTGGGAGATGGGGCTGCAGGCAAAGCTCTGCTCAGCTGAGGCAGCAAATGGAGTTACCCTTTGGGTAGAAGAGCTGTGAGGGGCTGTGGCACATTCACCATTGTAGCAGTTTTCTAAAGCTGCCAAATTCTAAACAGAACTTTTAACATTGCAGTGCTGCCAAGTTTTCGGCCTTTCTTGCAGAGATGGCAGAAGGTATATTCCTTGTATGACTGTGTTCTCCGCTAAACGGCATAGCCTTGCTCCAGAGTATGGAGCAGACATTCTCGATAATTTCTTATTCATGATAAGTAGCTTTCACTTCTTTAATTCTGAAAAAATACCTTATTTTCTCAGAAAAAAATCCTCATGGAAATACTAAATTTATATCTCTAGTTGATCCTTAAATTCAATTTGAAGCAATCATCCAGCACGGAAAGCTGCAGGTGTTTAAGTTTGGCCAAGTTGTGTGCAGCTGAAAGCCTTTCCATGGAAAGAATCAGACGGCTCATGCTATGAATGTCATTGTCTGCTACTAAATTAGGCTCCTGTTTTCAGGAATGGCCTTTAAAATCTGGTATAGCTGTTCAAAATAATTTCTGGTGGCTGTCTATTGAAATTGGCAGAATTTTCTGTTGTGGCAAAGCAGTTTGTATACAGCGTTCATCTTTTAACAGCAGTTCTACTTTTAAAGAAAGTGTTTAGTAACACAAAGGATTTCTTCATAAAATGTGACGATGCTCAATTTGTCAGCCATACAGGCCTGTTCCTGTCTAGTTATTTCAGGCAGTTCGTATCTTTTCACGCTGGCCATCCTTGATAGGTATTTCTGCATCTCGTATCAAGAAGACTTGCTCTGTTTGCCACCAACTCCTTGAGTCATCAGGAGCGAGCAGGTGGGTGGTTAGGAGAACCTCTTTGCAGAGCTTCTGCTTACTACACAAGAGTTCTCTCTGGTACTATCCTTAAGCTGAAAATAGGTAAATTTTAAGTATTCGAAGATAAATATTGTACTTAGAAATTGCTAGGTATCAGGACAAATTTTTCCTCTACGTTTTGACAACTGTAATGCGGGCATTCATATTGAACCTATGATTCGAAAAGCACTTATTTTAGTTGCTTAAATTCTTCTAAGGTTATTGAAGAACTGTCTCTTTTTAAACACCATATAGTACCATAGGTAATATTTATCTGTATTAATAATCTTATCTGTGTGTGTTTTCCCTGTTAGCAAGCAGATCTGATCTCCCTGGGGAAAGTTGTGTTGGCTTTGGCTTGCAATTCTTTGTCAGGAATTCAGAGAGAGAATTTGCAGAAAGCAATGGAACTGGTGACAATCAACTATTCCTCTGATCTGAAGAATCTGATTTTGTAAGTTTGCTTCATAAATCTTTTAAAGGAAATTATTTTTTTTTAAAACATACAAACGAAGATGTCAAATGATATTTTAGATGCAAGTAAGATTACAGATATAACTACTGTCATCGAGTTGTCTGCACAGTCAATGCATCGTTAACCGTAATTTAAGATTTGTTTGTATAATTTCTATTTTCATGCTGTATCTAATAAATTCGATGTCCTTTTGTTACTAAGTGCTGTTTAAAGAAAATAAGCATTTTAAGTTGTCTTCAATACTGGGCTTCACTGCCTATTATCTACCACAGTAATACGCTAGTCTTATCTTAGTTTCAGGTGTTGAGAAATAGGCACATTACCTTTTTGACCAAAGGGTTGAGTACTGATTTTTCTTGGCTGCATATTATTTTGTGTTGTTCTTTAGTATAGTCAGCCTTTCTCCTCTTGCAGCCTAAGAGGGAAAAGTAGAAATCTGTCCCCTCCCTCATTTGAAAAACAATTGCATGACAATCTGAATCTTTGCATCTTCTCTCTTTTTGAGTATGTTCTTGCTGTTTGAGCGGGTGAACTACACAGTTCCATGAAAGTACAGTCCTATATTGTATAAATAACTTACTGGATATATACATGTAAGTTAACAGACATGATTCTCTGTTAATTTTTTTTTTAAGAAATGCTGCAATTGTCAACTTTGTATTAAATAGACATGAGGGTCAAATAGTTATAAAATCATAATAGGATGATCTCTCTGGCATTTGCAGCATGTTTAAGTAATCTTTTTGGGGGTGGGGATATTTTGGCAGGTATTTGCTGACCGACCAAAACAGGCTTCGCAGTGTAAATGATATCATGCCTATGATTGGTGCGCGATTCTATACTCAGTTGGATGCTGCTCAGATGCGAAATGATGTTATAGAGGAAGACCTTGCAAAGGTAAATCATTGAGTAATTCCTATAGGAAGACCTGTATTCCTACAGCTGCGCCTTAAGAGGGCATGTTTTCTACTGGTTTTATCCTTTTGTTTAGCAACGTACGTAATCTGCGTCTAGACTTGAGAACTCTGAGCTCAAGGCACTGAAAGTCCAAAAGCTCCAAGAACCACTAGTTTTAGGATGTCCTCAGCTGGGCTTTAAGTAAAGTAACATCTTCATGTCCAAACAGCAGTCTTGGGGAAAAGACGTTCTTTATAGAATGGTTAAAAAGTAGTATTCTGACTAAATAAGGCCACACGTGTCACCACACACTAGATCATGTAGTTTGTGCTAGAGGTTATACAGCAACAAACGTTGCTTTTAAGTTCTTGGATAGATTTGGATTCCTATGTCCCTTTACTTCTCATATGTTTTCCTTTCCAAATGAATGCTAGATCATTGAGGTAAAGGCAGCTATCCTCAGTTTCCCTGAAGTGTGCAGCTCTTGCTGTGTGGGTCTGGTTAGTCTATCAAGATCAGTCAAGGTATCAAGTGCTAGCTACAAAGGAAATATGTACTTTATCCCATGTTAGTGTGTATTTGTTCAACAAGAAGGGGTGTCTGCTCATCGGAAGCCACTGATCATAGGATTTTCTAACAAGACTGAGATATGTTACAAAAGGCTTTCATGATGCTGAAGATGCGTGGGGTAGGGTATTAAGTTTTTAAGGATTTAATCAAGTCCTGTGACTCCTTTCCATTACGTGCCCTCATTGAGATTTTTTTTTAAGAGGAAGCAGACCAGTGGTTGAGATTCTGATGGACTGGTTCTCTTAAATTCTCCACCATTAGCTTGTTTGATAACTGTTTTTCCCTCCTTAGTGAAAAATATTGAAGTCTATCAGAAGCAAAGAGCTGTAGAAGGGCAAGGTGGTATCTACTTTGGATGCAGAGCCCTAGATGACTGATGCTTACTCTATCAGTCAACCACTACTCCTGCTCTGAAGATGTCTGAGATAATTTCTTGTTAAGGTGGCCCAATATGCATGCACAAATCTGGGTGGGTGGACCTTTTCCCAGAACAAAGTTAGAGATTGTACTGTAGTCAGAATTAAGCAGTCTGCATTTTCAGTTAGGTTGTTTGTAGCAGTTGCTTGTCACTGTCATGTAAGCAGAGCCATGACAAATCCAAGTTGTTGCATAGCCCCCGGTTTGGCAATAGCTGTTTGCCTGGCAGTGATAAATAGTACTTGCTAATTAGCTGTCATACTATAACTTGTTTGTACTGTCACATCCTCGGTAATGTCAGAGCTACAGTATCCCTTAAGTCTAGCTTGGTACCGTCTCTTCATTATTGCCCCAAAGCAAATGCTTAGGGGAGAGTATTAGAACAAGACTAGCATGTATGATATTTTTCCTCATATTCTCCAAGTATGCTCTTATCTGTAGCTTAGGGGCTTCTGATGCTGACAGTGGTTTGTATGTAGCTAATAACTTTGGTTTTTTGAAGCCGTGAATATTTTGTTACTCCCATAACACTCATGTTTCACACAGCAGTGACCCCATTACTCTGTCCCTTTCCTTCCTCACATTAATACTCCCATCATATATACATCGCAGCATTCAAAGCCTCAGTTTTTCAAGTCCACTCTGTAGAAGAGCTCCCTGTCTTACAGGCTACTAAGCCTGGAGAGAGGCCACCTGGAGACTCAGTGCCAATGTTGTTGCTCAGCTGTGTTGCCACTGACTGGGAATTTGCAAGGCAGTGGCATTCACACAGACGGAATTTTGGCTTTTGTATATTTGGCCACTTATAAAAAAATTAATTGGAGGTTGTATAGGCCTCTGCTAGCTGGACAAGGTAAGTCTTCCCTGTCAGTCTCTTAAGTGTAGCTACAATTGTGGTACAAGCCTTCTGCTGTGTGTTTTTAGACTGCTAATAGAAGTCTTGCAACTCATAGGTTGTCTGAGGTCAAGCTATTGTCACCTTGCCCTACTTTATTTACCCAGCTGTGCGCAGTAATTTACTCCAGACTGAATTCATCTGAAATCAATATGATCATGTGTGGAACAAGATGCAGCTTAGCATGAATAATGTTGGAAACTGGGCCGTTGGCAAATGAGTAATATCAGGAGAGAATAATTTTCCTGCCAGCTTTGAGCAGCTTTTACTTAAAAGATTAATCCACAGTGTAATGTAAGCTAGGATGTGACTCTTTTTACTGTATCCTAAGTGATAAGAAAAAAATGTATGAAATCAATTTTTCAATTGCATGTATTCTAAACATGTATAATGTTCTGTCTTCCATGTGAGCTCATTCTCATTGCTTTATCTATGTCATTGATGCATCCAGAATTTATACTGTTTTAAGACGACTTCTAGCTTTTTTGGAAAAACTTGTTTTAAAATTGTATTTGGAATCAATTGTAATGTGAATGTTTAAATGCATTTCTGAAAAACAAATCTGGTAGATTATGCTTCTTCTCATCTTTTCCTGAAGTAAGGTATTATACTATACAATTCTACAGGTCTTGATAACTGTGTGTGTATATATATAAAAACATATTCTTCTTGTTTAACTTACTATATTTTAGCATACTTGTAAGTACAGGCTGGCAAGAGACTAGACTTATGTTTCCACAAAGAAATAACATACTTGTCTCTTGCCAGCCTGTACTTACTAGACTTATGTTTCCACAAAGAAATAGATTGCCTGATCCAGTTTGTGCTGGGGCAGCAAAGTCTCATTAGTTGTTCAATTTCCACCTTATAATTTGAATATGAAGTGCTAAAATGACCACTGGTCTACTGATACACAGTATGATGCATTCGATCTCTTTCTGAAAAAATTACGCCCTCTTGTTAAAATAAATAAATCATTATAATTAATAGTGCTTCATTGGCATAGCTACTGTATATTTTTTTGCAAATAAGTGTCTTGATTTTATGTTTCAGAAACTTTAATAATCTTTCTTGTTTTCTAGGAGGTGCAAAATGGAAGGTTGTTTAGGCTTCTAGCAAAACTGGGAACAATCAATGAGAGGCCAGAGTAAGAAATACTTGTTTTCATGGTGTAGAGTATGTAAAACCTAGTTTGCAATGCAGGGTTTCTTCTCTCATAAATTTAAGCTAAACATTTTCCCCATATTTGCCCCTGAAGAAATGAGTATTTAAGAAGCCTTGAGAAAAACAAGATAAGCAACTTTGACCAAAATTGTAAATAAAGGAGAAGATAAGGCTACAAACAGATATGCCAAAGTTGCTTCATTTTTTTAAATATGTTTTCTCTTAGCAGTTTCTTGTGAGTGACTAAAGTTTTTGAGGAGATCCATAACTTGCTTTAACTGTAGCAGATGGTGCAGATATTGGTTTTAAGCTAGTTCATTTTCAGCTTGTTTTTCATCAGCTGCTACATACAAATGAAGTGTTCATGGTCTGTTTTGCATCCTATTGAATAGACTTGGAGTTGTTTGTAATCCTGGTTTCTAACACATATGAAACTTGTTGAAGATAACTTTTGCTTTCTTCCATTACTTTTCTGTGGCCCTTGGTAGGCATTAGCTTTGGGTGCTTCAGCTGAGAAACTTGGAATATGTTATATTCTGTTTGTGGTGGGGGTAGAGACTAATTAAATTGCAGATTATAATGGGTAGCTTAGCAAAGCAGCAAGATTGCTCAGTTTAGATTGAAGAGTCATGTAATCTGTGGGGTTTGATTTTTTTTTTATTATTTTTTTTTATTTTTTCCCCCTAACTGTCTGAGCTTTAATGTGAGCTTTTGTTTTACACCAGGTTTCAGAAGGACCCAACGTGGTCAGAAACTGGAGACAGGTATTTACTAAAGCTCTTTCGAGATCACCTTTTCCATCAGGTGACAGAAGCGGGTACTCCTTGGATTGACCTCAGTCACATTATCTCATGTCTTAACAAGGTACACTGTACTTGGGTTAGCTTTTCAAAATTTGCTTGGGTTAACTTTCTTTAAAATGATATTGCACTTCAAAGCAAGTTGTCATTGGCAGGTTAATTCTGTTGATTTAACTGATGGATATTTTCCCCCTGTTTTGGATGAAAAGAATGTATTCACTAAGCTAATATTCAAACATTTATGGATATTTTAAATAAACTTAGCACACTAATATTAAAATTTGGAATTTGGTAATATAGCATGAGGTACAGTATTAACTTTTCATCCTAGAATGCATTGAATACTGTAGATAAGCAATGCTGGTCCCTTTATGCTACTCTGGTCTTTCAACACAGCATAAAGGATCCATGAGAAGACCCCTTTAACTAGGGGAGGTTTCTGCTGATATAGGTATGGTCATAAGGCAAGAGGATCCATTCCTAAACTGTGCTGACCAGAGTAGGAGACAGGAGGGTGTATCAGGAGGGGAACTGCAATAAAAGTTTGTGCAAAATCCTTACTGTCTAGGATAGTGCTGGAAAATTTTTGTGACTTAGTGTTAAGTTCACTGCTGATAACTTCCCTAGCCTCTCCAGCCCTTCATTTTCCAAGGTTGACTTAACAAAGCTATTTACGGTTTTCCAAGACCTGCATCACTAGCAAAATTTTAGCTGAGCACTCTCGTGATTTATATACATGTGAGAGACCCCAAGATCTACAGTAGTTGTAGTACTTGTCTTGCTCCATAAATTAAAAAGTACATGAGCTGATTATTTTTTTTTTTTATTGGCAGATCAGCTTTCAACTTACTTTACATTGTTTTGCCAAACTTCAGTAATTCATAGGAGAATAAGATGCTGCTATTTTTTTGGTTTTTTGGTAGCTGTTTGGTCATTCCACTCACTCTGTAGAGGATGGTGATGCAGACACTGACAATAAAGAGAGAGAGTCAGTGGTTAGTATCCTCTTTTCTAGGGTTAGGATAGCCAACTTCCTATTCTGGAAAATATTCAGCTCTTTTGACATGTAACAACTGACTTACCTACAGTTAAATCTTTTTCTAAATTGTTGAGGCTTTTAATCTCCTATTAGACTACTGCTGTGCATTTCTTTAACCTCATTTTTATCTTTCTGGTTGGTGTCTGTAATCACTTTAAAAAGGACATTAAAGGGATTGAGGCTAAATCAAAAAGAAAGCATGTTGATATTCAAATAGGCAGTGAAATGCCATCATGATTTGAAAGCAGTGACCCGTACAGTACTGTAGCAAGAGGGGGACAGTCCTGAATTCGTAGGTCAGGTAAGAGATGGTGTCAAAGAATGCCTTGTTCTATAAATGTTCATGGCTTACCTTTTTAAGCAGAGGCTCTTCTCTTCTGTGGTTGTGGGCTCAGCACACAAAAAGTGTAAGGTTTACAGAACTCTACTTTGGAAATACACTCTAAAAAACACTTCTGAAACTGTAGTGTGCACTAGTAGAAGTAGGTATTTGCGCTTTTCCTGCTACACTCCAAAAGCATTCCTTTTGAATGAAAACTACTCATTGTTTTAAAAAAAAAAATAATCTTTTTTTTTTTTCACTGTGGCATTTTGGGGATCTTTTCAGCTGAGATATTGATTTATGCCTCTACAGGAGGAGAGGCAGAAAGCCATAAATATTGACGTTTAGTTAGCTCTGTGGCTTTCTTAATACAGATCTTCGATATCCTAAATTAAGGTAATTCACTGATTTCTTGAATGATAATATTTTGTAATGGATGTTGGAAGACACTGGTGGTTTTGTCCTACTTTGTAAGAATTAAAGGCTAATTGGCTTGCCTTTGTCCTTCTGAAGGTATTCACAAAGCAGGAACTTTAAATCTGGGAAGTTCCAGCTTTTAAGGTTATGCTCAGAACACTATTATAGAAGACAAATGCAAGAAACTTCTAACTTGCTGTGTTGCTCCGGACAGCAGCTGGTGGAACATCTCAGGGACAAATGTAATTGCTGTTCAGTACAACATTATAATAAATTTATTTAATCTTGCTGGGGTCGTATTTCCAAAGATTGCCTCAATAATCTCATATCCCACTTGTCTCTGCCCCACCTTCTGTATTGGAACAAGAAAGTTTGTCAAGTATTTGGAAATATCAATATATTGACTAAAAAAGAGCTAGAAGTCTTGCATTATAAGAGAGTCTGAAAATTCTTCATTGATGAATATTTCTTGCAAAGTGAGGAGAACATAAGATAGAGTCTTGGAAGGGACTTCAGCATGTGAAGTAGGATATTCCTCTGTTCCAAATTAGGATTGAGAGGTACATCTCTAAAGTACATAGTGTAACATACAATTCTTTAATATTGAATTTGAGAAGTCAGAACAAAACATGAAAATAAATGTGGAACAGACTTTAGTCTCTAACCCAAAATTATCTATTTGTTTATGGATTATGACTAGGTAATTTTTTGTTGTTGTTTGTTTGGGTTGTTTTGTTTATTGTTGTGTTGTGGTTTTTTTAAGGGAAGAAACCTACCATACAACTTAGGAACTAGTTAGTTTCCAGTACTGCCAAAAGCACGAGGCTGGGGTTTCTACAGGTTTTCAAACTACCTGAGGCTGATCCATCCATTATTTCATTTTAGAGTGGGCAAGAAGTAATTTACCTACCCTACCTGGAGGCTTGTGAATCCTATGTGCAAATGTAATGTTAAACCTGGTTTTGTTCATCAGGAAGGAGCTCTATGGAAATTTTGCTAGGTTTTCTACGCAGGGGAAGATAGCATTGCAGGATTATTAGCTTTATGGAAAGGGAAGAAAACAATGGTAACCTAGTCCAAAGGTCTGGAATGTCCATCAGGTTAAGACCAAAATGTCTCGATTTTTTGGCAAGTACATTGTTGTGGTGCGATTCAGATCCTTCCTTTCTGTGGCGTTAGCAGATTTGAACTGCACCACAACAAAGTACTTGCCAAGAAATTGATTGCTTTTGTTATTGGGGAAATGTTTTGCCATTTCTTTCACACTTCTTTTATTTTATCTTTTGCATTCTTGTTACAGTTAGATGCTGGTGTGCCAGAAAAAATAAGCCTCATTTCCAGAGATGAGAAGAGTGTACTTGTGGTAACTTACAGCGATTTAAAACGCTGCTTTGAAAATACTTTTCAAGAACTGATTGCAGCCGCAAATGGTCAGTTGTAGTATTTGCTGAAAGCATGCAGGACATTGCTGAGGAACTTAACCAATAGCAAATTGCACTACAGCTGAATTGTTGTTGTCATCTCATTTCACATTTGGGAAACAAACAGGAGATGAGCAAAGCTGCTTGCACTTCAGTCAGGTACACTGTTACTTGAAGGGAAGAATGTTTCACTTATCCTAGAGCTAAGGCTGCCATTGGAGGCTTTATCTGTGAAGAATTTATTTTAGATTAAGGAACACATCAGGTGCATGATGTTCCTGCTTTTATTTTTTCCACTTGTATATGCACTAATTTTAATTTTTTTAAGACTTTTCTGATCTCTGAAGTTTTGCCACATTGTATACTTAAGGGAAACTCTTTGCAAGGACATTTCTGGGATACATTTTTGTCACTGAGGATATAGCAAAATTTATTCATTTTTGATATTATTTGCACCCAGAATAGCATAAAGGACCAGGTAAATAATTTAATAGAAATTGTGTTCTATTAATGACCATTTAGTTCGTAACCTCTGTAAAAGTGTGTTGTATGCAAGCTCTGTATGCCACCCACTGTTAGCTCAAAAAAGAAATGTGAGAAGACGAAACATTTTAAAACCAGTCAAGTGAAGTATCGGTGAATTGACAAAAAAGGAAGCAAAGTCCCCTGTCATTTGATTTAAACTTTGTCTAAGCGAAGTGACGAAAATAGCAACATGGGAAACATCTATAATTTAAAGAGCATATCAAACTTGCTCTAAACACAACCAGCGCCTTTTAAAAACTGTTTGTACGTTTTCCTGCTAGTCAGAAGCATTTACATTTATGCAATTTTTTTAATAGATTTTTTTTTAAAGAAATTGTTTAAATGCCTGAAGTTTCAGGAGTGTATTACTTTAGGTTATTTACAGTATAATTTTTGTATAAAGTTCTGTTCTTTGAACCACAGCTTTATTATGGTACGCTACACTGGATACAGATACAAAGACACTGTTAAAAGAAGATTAACTAAACACAGCAGTTGTCTGGCATCAAGAGCTTTTCAAGTTTTACAGCCTGAATCTGGAGGGATAATGATCTGCTGTGCCTTTGCAGTCACTGCTTAGCCCAAAGTAATATTACTTTTGATAATACTCAACACATGAATATTCCTGAAGTAATTCAGTCTCAAAAGTCTGGAATTTTCCTCCTCAATTAACTTTCTAATATTTGGACATGCAGTTGTCTCCAAACTTGGGTATTCATGGGATTTCTAGTTAAACACCTACACTTTGATACTGAAGACTGCCAAATATGTAGGAATTTCCTTTCTTAAAGCAGTAGTGAAGACTGTATCTATCCTTTCCCAGCACTGAATGTTTTAATAGCACTGGGTGCTCACCATGAAGAAAATGTGGAAACTCAAAAGGTCAGGACAGACTCTAAGCACTTGCAACTGATGTTACTGACATCAATTTTAATAATTCTCAATATTTGTAGTTTTCAGAGAAGTTTTTAATATTTCTCTGTCCACTTTTATAAGCTTTAAAATGATTCTCCGCCTTGAGACTTGCATCAAGAAAAAAGCAACTCTCTTCACATCGAAAGCTTTGAAGACTAGGGACATGCTTTACACATTTTAGAAAATGTGGTTGAATCCACATTAGGTAGCATCAGTTGTTGAGTTTAAAAATCAATTATTGTTGCATTTGATCGAATGAATTTTAAAAGGAACATAATGTTTAATATTCAAACGATAACAGTTGCCAGAGTGTTCTTTTTAATATAAAAGGAACAGGAACTTTGAAAAGTGAACATGCAAAACAGTCTTTTATCATTAGCTCATGTATTTGAGGAAGAGCAGCTGTCTTTTATATGTTTTTTGACAAATCATATTGTAATTCTTTTGTACAAAAAAGAAGTACTTGTATTCTAGAAGAAATATGAAATGCTTAATTTATAAGCGGGCTGAGGTTTTTTCCAGTATTGTTTTCTTTGAAAATGAAAGGGGATCATCTGTTCAGTTGTGGGGTTTGGGAACCTTTGAAAATTTAATTTGTGGACCAATATTTTGTGAAAGTGTAAGGCAGGGGTAAAATAGGGCTTGAATTCTCATCCTTTTTAGACCAGCAAACCACCCTCTGCAAGACATGTCTAAATTGCAAACCTGTGTGTATTTGCATAATGTCAGTTTGCTTCAGCCCCTAGTAACCTCAGGACTTGGTTTAAAAATAAAAAGGTAGACAGCTAATAAGTTTTCATACGTAATGTCAGCCAGAAAATATTTGGTGTCAGGTAATACATTAAAAAAAAAAGTTGAGCTTTGTTTTTTATTTATTTCATTTGGTCCGTATTTGGGAATGATTTGAACAGTCTGAAGTTCAGCTTGGGTGTTTTTTTGGGGAGAGCCCTGCTACCCCTTTTAATTCCATTTAGAAGGTTGTCCTAAAGTTGTAGTTTGATCCATTCGTAGGAAGAACTGTGTATCTGTATTTAAAAAGAAGAGCCACCAGGATGTGCCCTCCCAGATGGGAAATTTATTTCTGACCTTCCTATTTTTTACAGCTAAAAGCACAGAAGGGACAACCTTTGAAATCATCTGATGTTGGTCATTTTAATTTTTGTACCTGTTTTAAATTCTGTTGCTGTATTTACTATATTGTAAATATTTTGTTGAGGGTACCTATGTATTTTTGATTTGCCCTTGTTTCAGTAATTCAGGTGTCAACTGCTTCCCCTAAAAAGCACCAGTATGTTAAGTTCTAATGTCATGATCCCAATATGTGTTACTCATCTTTAATCCTGTTTTCATTCTTCATGTGTACAGCAGTATTTTTAATAAAGAATACCAGAAATAACGTGGCCTTATTTTGACAATGTGAAGTTCTGAAGTTGGATACAGGGCTTTTCAACTTTGGTGCTGGAGTTATATTTCATTCTATCATGTTTCTTCTGCATTGACTCTGCCATGCAGAGTTTAAACAATCATAAGTCACAAACTGTGTTTAGCACTTGCCACTTACACCGTATCAGATGTCCTAAAACTTACAGATGTTGTTGACTACAATAGTACTAATACACACACATTTCCTTAACTCCCAAGTCAAGTCCCACCTGCTTCTGTCAGATCAGGTCTGCTTTACTGGACAAGCCCTAATCTTGAAAACTTTATTAAAGTACCCTCACTTTCATGTGTTTTCAGCTTCCGCCCCCCTCCCAGTAACAAAGTATATTAATTTCTCTGAGAACTTTCATGTGGAGTCATTGACAGCTTCGCTTCCCAGAATTATTTTTCTGTGGTGTTAACCAGCAAAGGTGAGATGAGTTACTGGTGGGGTAAAATCCTATACCCATCCAATCCTGACCGTGCTTATGTAATGTGAAATTTTGTGCAATATATGTGAAATTGTCGATATTCCTTGCATAGATTTAACAGGGAGACATTATCCCTTAAATTGGAGTGTTTTAAAAATTTCATTACATAGACTAAATTAAAGCTGCAGCAAGCTTGATTGGTGCAGTTCTCTCGTCTCCAATTTCTTTTAGTAATGTGCAGTAACAGCTAGAGAACCTCCTGCAGCAGCAGTAGGCGATCCCATTACGTTCTGTCTCCCCAGAGAAAGTTTCATCTCCTCTTCCTTCCAGCACTTGTGTGTAGTTTATCTGCAGTGTGGCTTAGAGAGCCCCTCCTGCTATAAAATGCTTTATAGCAGAGAGCCCTCAACTGCACATCTCTATAGGAGCAGCATCCTCAGCTTCTGATGGACGGGGTTGGGATGTGGAGATTCTCTGGAGAAGATAAAGTACCTACCAAGCCAAAGGTGCTACCTCATATCTTTTTGTCTGTACCATATCTAGCCACAGAAGTAGCTGGGCATGGGGGGCAGTCGAATGGATGTTTATCAATGAGCTGCTTTTTCTTCCCCCGCCATGAAACCTTGCCGCTCCCAGAGGCAGAGCTGATTATTTTGCCTCTGGACAGCAGTAAGCAGTTCTTAGGTATGCTGAATCTAGGGGATTTCACTCGCAGAGGGAGAGGGGCAAGTGTCCATCGCTGTATCCGCTTTTGTGCGAGAAGAGTGCCTTCCATGCGATTATTCCATATTCTCCTTTGCTCATACAAGTGGCCAATAGGATTGATTGTTTGCCTGATGGTAGTGCTGCCCCATCATCTGCTGCAGCAGTCTCTGACACCGGATTAATTTGTTTGGCAGAACTCTGCAGATTCTTTCAAAAGCAAACTTTATTATATGAATTTAGCAGTCAAATACATTATATGAAGAACAGAAAATGAAAGACAAAATAAGAGTTATTCACATCTGAAGAAACTTAGGGGTTTCATATAAAAGTAATTTTTGTAGTCCAGTTTTCTTAAATATTTATGCACAAAAAGCATATTTATATATTTACAGTGTGCAAACTTTTCCTTTGAGATGCATCATCCCATAACTATTTTTCCTCAATTGTAGTTAAGAAACAGTTCTTAAAATTTCCTTTTGTTTTGATCAAGATCAAATATACTTTACCAGCAAGTGCCAGTGCAGTAGATACTTAAAACTGATGATCTCTTGGCCAGGAAGTTCTAGAATTTATACTTAGCTTAGATATAGCGGTACATACTTCTTTTACTTGAATATCCACGAACTCTTTTCCTTGTAAGTATGCAAAAGGTCATTTGCCTTTAAGTCTGTTAGTGGGTTAAAGTCACAGCTCCTAATCTGAGTTTTATAAAGGTCAGAACTGTATTATATGTGGCATTGTAGTTAATATATATTTATAGTGGACCACAAGAAGCTGAGATTGCAAAGTAATTGTTGATCTGGAAGACACCAGTGCTACTGGTGTCTTAGTTAAATGGCCAACTCTCACTTTAATATTGCATTCAAAGGTGAAGGGGGATGGTGCATCCTTACACTTCTCCAACAAAGAACATTCATGCCCTTTTTGAGACGCTATACAAAAGTCTGTTGCAAATGAATGCTACATTTTTATTCCTGTACATATATACTGATATCTAACCTGGAAGTTTACCTATCTTCGTAGAAAAGCTGCCCTAACTTTCCAAGGAGTTTGTCTTGTCATTTCTAACTAATCTCTTCAAATGCTCTAGTGATCCATTCTTTCTTTAAAGTATACATGCAGTTTAGTAGCCATCCTGTCTTCTCAGACAGATTCCCATAAATAAAATATAATCAGTGCAGTGTTAGAAGGTCCACAAGGTTTTGTGGACAGATTGGCTTTAACATATCTAGCTTGCGGTTGGGGTCCAGTGTGTGTGTGTTGGCATAATGACAAAGTGCAAAACTTCAAGAATATTTATGTGATTACAGCAGGCTTGTCCAAACTGAACTGATCTGTATTCCCTGTTGTTGCAGCCCTGGCTCTGATCTTAGTTCTCCTCTATCCTTCCCAATTGTGTTTCACAACACGTTTGAAATTCTTGCCTCACAGGACCCCTTACTGCGTTTGCCATCCGAAGCAGTAAGAGCCGTATAATGCCCCATCCCCAGCTTAGCTAATTCAGCTTCCTGCGAGCATCAGCCGTCCCTCAAGTGTCTCAAAGTAGAGTTTTCACTAAAAACTGTAGAGCGTGGTCTGTTTCTTGTTTCTCTCTCCTTGAAGAAGCCTTTATTTTCCAGCTCTATACAGGCCCCAGCAATAGGGTGCAGATTTCCCGGTGCCTGACACGGGGGGTCCTGAGGGCTCCCCGCTGCCTCTGCCGACCAGTCCGAGCAGGGGCTGGGTGACCGGAGCATGAAATGCCATCCTGCTGCCAGGGACCAAACAGCAAACTGGGTTGCTTTGTAATGATGACCATTCAGGTTTTCAGAAGCACTGGGCAACTGTAGTGGCAGCTGTTCAGCATCAGGAAAGTCAAGGCCTTAAGCATTAGTATTTTGCTATATTTTGTATATGCTTGTTGCAGTCTGTAGAAAAGCGGATCACTGACATAAAGCCAATGATATCCTTTTAAGTTTTAGGATAATTAAAATTATTTGGGTCAAAGTTTTTAAACTGACCGTATTTCAGAAGAACCTTTTTGGATTAAATGCGTATTTAAATCTTGGCCTAGAAGTACTTAAATGGGTGGCTGAGAGTAACGGACCACAGAGTTGTAATCAGGAGGGGGAGAATGGCACGCTTTCATTTTCTCCAGAACTGCGTTACTGTACGTATATCTTCGCTTGGAGTCACTGAGCTGGTCACAACTGAAACTGCAGAAGCTTCTTGGCTTGGTTATTCCAGAAAGCACCGACTCCTTGCTCCTGCTGGCACCTTTCACGCTGTAACAGAACAGCCTCACTGTTAGCGTATTTAACATGTACGGGCATTTGTTTTAATGACTTGAGCAAGGCTATGTCACAAAAAGCAGCTTTGTTTATTTTCTCATGATGGGAACAGGACTGATGCAGATGGAATTGCTCAATGAGAGTGTGGAACGGAGGACTGAAAGAGCCCTCCTGTGTCCCCCTCAAGTCCCCTTTCTGAACAGAGATGCTGTCACTGAACATCACTATTGAGGTGCTTGTGTTCATTGTAAGTATTAGTCTTGGTCCTTATGGGGAGTACTTGATTGCTCAGCCAAAGCTCTAATTGCTCATTTGTGGCAGGTGCTAGGGAGTGAAACTTCATTGCAGGGCAAAGGAGTGTGGAGTGTCTGGCATCTGTGCTGATTCTGGGCTGTGGATCCCTATAGGGTCCCCACACTTAAATGTTTTTCCTAAGGGAACTGCGATGTTTTGGAGCAGGAGCGAAGCAATGAAAGCTTGCAAGCCTTGGGGTAAAAGCAGAAAGCTCCTACTGTAGTTGTTCCCAAAGTCTAATGCTGGGATGAATTTTTAAGGTAAATGGCTGATGTTTGAGAAGAAGGGCACAAGGTCTGGGTATCTACTCTCTTAGGCTTCTCTCAGCAGCAGACATAAACTGCTGGTTTGAATTGAGTTTTTCTGTCCCACGGAGGACCAGTTATCCTGTAGGATGCCTTTTAAACATGCCCTTTACAAGAAGGATTTAATGCCTTCTCAGCTGAGCCACTCTTTAAAAGGTACTGTTCGCCTTGCAGCAAGGAGAGCAGTTCTTCAAAGGGCTCTTCCAATAACGAAGAAAGTTAAGGCAAAAAGGTTTTTCACCCCATTGACTTTAAATATTGAAAATTTATCTGTAGACAAAGGACAAACCAGAGCATTTTTCATCATTGATTATATGTGAAATCCTAACATAAACACATGTTGGACCGCAGTGCCTAAAATTAGATTCCTTCCCCCATATTTTTATAAGTTCATAGACACTCTCCCCCTCTCTTTTTATAAGGTTGGGAACATTGGTAGCCCTAGTCTTGAATTCCAGAGAAGACAGTCAGAAGGTCTGTTGAGGCTTTGAGAGCCCAGGATTTTGCTTTTCATTATAGTTTGCACTGTTGTATCTTTAAGTAAAGTACAGAACTGGTAGCACAGGGCCTTTCCTGATTAGGAAATGGAGAAGTAACAGTTTCTCTTAGATTTCCCATATTCCTGAATCTTTAACCCACAGGCCTGTGTACTTTTTCAAGAGTGTGGTCTCTGTCTTCTCTCCTACAGGAGGAAATTGAAGGGTCCTCCCTAGAAGACCACCACATTACATTTGTTTGTAGATGGATGGAGTTCATGAGGAGGAGCCTTCCTGATGAGGATTGCAGATGCATCACATATTTTTATATTGCATCTGTTGGCAGATGGGCAAATAATTGCCTCAGGATAAATTCCATAACTATGTGACAAGGTTCATCACAGACTCAATGGACTTTTTGTGATGAGTTTAAGAGAAACGCTTCTGTGATTTACATTGTAATTGTGAGTCTTAGGGAGCAGTGGGCTG